TTGCATCCCTTGGAGGCGTCCGGCCGGGGCGGCCCCAGCACTGGACGAAAGGCCTCCCCAGCCAGCACCGGTGAAGCCGCCAGCGGGACATCCCCCCCGCCCCGGCCCCCGGCCCCTCCTGCGACCCTACCCCTCTCATTTGGCTGGCGCTTCTTCAAGGGGCGGGGAGAGGGGGCGACCACGGCAAAGTGGCAAGGTAGCTGGCTCGGAGTGTATTTATATGCCCTTCGCTCAAATATATATATACGCATATTAATCGCATCCTATTCGCTCATTTCTCAACACACTCCCACCCACCCGGAATGATGCCTCCTTTCTTCTCCATCGTCACTTGTGAGGAGGTTCCTTCCGGCTTGCGCCCGGCCACCACCGGCCGACATGACGCAGCGCACTCGCCGGCCGGCGCGCACACCCATGCCCGGGCTAACTCGAGGGCTGGGCGGGCGGGGGCGCATTTGTCCGCCCCGCAGCCGCACTGGACGTGACCGTGCGGCGGTGTAGGGTCCCCCCCCCCCCGCCGCCGGCGGGAGGGCGGATCCCCGAAAAAAAGATGACCTGGCACTTATGGCCACACAAAATGGCGACCCTCCCTGGGAGGGCCGCCCGTTGCAGAGAAGTGCAGGGTGCTGTGCATCCCCGCCCGGCGCGTGGGGCTGATGAGGGCTCGGTTGTGCCTCACCCTCTGTCGAATGTCCCCCCTTCCCCCTCCCCCGGGGGGGGGGGGGGGGCCTTGTCGCGCCTTGTTCTGCTTTGTCACCTTGCGCGGGGGCTCCCGGCTTCGTGTGCAGGCGTTGCTGAGTCATTCCGGTTCACGCCCGGCCCGGCACTTAGTCCGATCATTGGAAAAGGACGCGCGCGGATGGGTTCTCTAATCCCATGTATCGGCACATTCCCCCTCCCCGCCTCTCGCGCAGGGCTTGATCCTCTGTCTGGAAAAATCCCCTGGCCCTACGGCCAGCTTGTCCGCCCCCACGCAAAGTAGAAAGACCGAACGCCCCGGAGAGGTACCTGTCGCTGTTGTTGTTGCTGCCGTTGCTGCTGTTCTATCCTCTTCTCCGGGCCCGGCGACGGCGGCGGCGGCGGTTTCAAGCGTGTCGAGGGGGAACTCGGCCCGGGCGGGGCCAGCGCGAGGCCCATTATACCCCCCGCGAGGCCCACCCAATGACCGATAATCTCGTGATATCCCTCAACAAAGGAACGCCATTACACCGAAGTCACATGTAAGTATGGAATTCAAACACCTAAATCCTATTGGCGCGGTGGTGTGCGTGCGCTCTCCCGCAGCCCCGACAGACGGGTGCGGCGTTGGGGACCCGTGGGCTCTCTCTCTCTCTCTCTCTCTCTCTC